AATATTCTTTACTGGTATTTTTTATTTATTGTTTTCCTTTAAAAACTGCAGTTGCAGAGGTCACCTCTCAAGTTTGTGTGGACTTAAAAGTCTGTTTTTGAATCTGTATAGGTGAATTGTGTTTATAGATGATAAGGTTCACACTATTTTCTTTCTGAATTTTTCCTAACAACTAAAGCTGACAAGTTATCTTTGTGGTGTTTTCATGCAATCAGTGCTATAACCAAAAGGAAGAAAATCTCACAATGAGATAGCACAAAATCATATTGCTGCTGCTTCTGAAATGTCTGCTTATAACCTAAACTCCACCAATTTGTAAAACTGAATATTTTACATTTGGCCAGTAAAATAAGGATCTTATTAATTCAATATTGTATTTATTCACCTATCTTGTTGTCTCATGTTTGTAGTAAATTAGTATGTTTATGAAAGGTTTCAGTGGGAATGGTAACAGTCGAGATTTTAGATGCGTTTATGGAATCCTGTCTCTAAAATACTATTATATTATAAATCACTAGAAGGGATTTTTAAAGCCTTCAATGGGTTCTGTAGCTGCAACTGTTTCTCCATTTTTCCTTATCAATATATAATTGTTTCCAATGAGTGCAATGGTTTCTTCATGACCTGTATGAAGGTTATTTAAGTAGAAGGGGCTTGTTATATTTAATTGGCAATCAAAAATAGTATTTTTCTAGGATTATTTCCAAAACATAAATTGCAAATTAATTACATAGATTTCATCAGCTGGACACAGCATATTGCCTGTATAACACTAATCATGCAAATTGTTATGCATTTATATTTTTAATTAATGCATACAAAGTAGCTTTGATTAGGATGACTAATTTTGACTTGTTAAGCACAGTTTTATAGGTTCCCCTAATAATATTGCCTAATTTTCTAAGTTTTTGTGCAATCCTACAAATAAAACTCATTCTATTTTTGTTAGGCAATAACAATCTGCATTTGATACCAAATGTAGAACACTGTAGTGTGGAAACTAGAAAATTCACCCAATTTTAGAACTCACACTAATGAACTGCAGCAATTAAACTTCAGAAATATAACTAGCTAATTGCAAAATATTCCCACAAATAATAACCAAGAAGTTTCCAAGGCGTCCAATTTTTATGCACATGGAGTGAAATTAGTATTCCAGCTTCAATTGAAAAAATGAATAGCCAGGTTGTTGGCCTCACTTTTTTCTCCAGCAGTTAGGTAACGACAGGTACCCCGGCCAGTGATTGAATAGAGTGAATCAGAAAAAAAGCAGAAAAAGCTCCTCTGATTACATCATACCTGTGCTGCTACCTCCTGTCAGCAAGCTCTCAATATTTGATTGGCAGCACTGTGCAATGGGAAGTACACTATTTCTTTTATAGTACTTGCCCCTTCCTCTTCTAGTCCTAGGCAAGCTCTACATAAATGATGCTAAAATAAAAGATGATTAGGTACTATTTAGGATTACATTTAAGGATTTTTTATTAATGCAACACAGTTCTAAATTAGGGTGTTTTATATTTTTTTATATATGTATGTATATGTATGTAATATGTATATTTGTATATATGTATGTAAACCTTAACAATGTAGTTCTCCTAATTTTATCCATGTTGGTCTGTTTTGTTGGTCTGTTTTGTTACAGTATATCTGTTTTAATAAGTGCAAAAGAAAAAAAAATGATGATGCCATAAATCTTGTAAGCTAATAGCTTCCTGCGCTCTCTACAACAGCTGCCCTGGTATCAGTTGCATTCTTCCCAGTTCTGTGGAATAGAGAGCACCTCCCATGTTTTGGATATAAGAGGGTAGGTGTTCTGTAGTGCTAAAATGCTTCCTTTTTCAGGCTGACAGGAAGGGACTGTGGTTCAGGACTCAGTGGCTATCTGGAGGCAGTGGCCATCTGACACACAAGGAAATTTTGGATAGCAGTGGTGCTGCTGGCTCTGCAAGAAAGTGAAGAAATGATTCCCTACCACCCCAAGATAGGTAAGAATTCATTATATTACATTAAAGGGTGCAACTTTCTCAAAGTTTTTTTTAAAGAAGTGACAGGGTTTGTTTATAAGAAAAAGTTACAGCGTCTTCAAACTATGGTATACACAGTATACTGTATTTTTTTTATGCTTGTAATGGCAGTGATCAGAAATTATAGCAGGACCATAATAGTAATATGGGCAATCTGACACTAACTTGACACTTTGTGGGAACTCAATAACTGCCACTGACATCTCCAGTGACACTAATACAGTGATTGCTGCTAATAATATACACTGCACTAATGACACTGGCTGGGAAGGGGTTAACATCTAAGGCAATCAAAGGGTTAACTGTGTGCCTAACAGTGCCTGGTATGTACTGTGTGTTGCTTTTAAAAGGGATTTGCCGGTTTTTATTCCTTGCTTCGCAGGGAAATACAAAACGGCACATCCCCGCTGACAGGCCAGAGCTCTGTGTTGTTTACATTCACAGAGCTCTGTTCTTTCATCTGTTTTATCGATTGGCTGGGACCCACTGATCGGCTTGTGCTGTAACTAATCACAGCACAGCCAGGCGGCAGAAACATGCACAAGTGTCCCCTACCCAGAAGAGCTAGATCACGTATTAAATAGGCTGCCTTGCCTCTGTACTCCTACATTAAGTAAAAACCATAAAGATTAAAGTGAACATGTACTGTATTCTAAACTTTACAAATTAAATGTCTTGCCTAAATGACTGCACCGCATGAAGATTGATATTGCCTTTATGAGCCAAAAAAAACCTTCTTCTGTGCTCCTGTCTGACTTTAGCTGACCATAAATGTTATAGTCTGATTATACAATATCCAAATCTCCATTGAATTTACAGTAATAATGTAATCTGAGCCTACGTAAACCATCCTTTTACCTGTATCCAGTCAGGGAAATCCTTGCACTACATATGTTTTAGTAGCTCTAAAGGAGATTGTATAATCAGATTGTGATATGTATGGTTAGCTTCAGTTCAGGTTTGTTTTTGCACCCTGACTTTCTCTGACTTTGTCCAATGAGAATGCCTTTAGTGGCCATGAGGCAGTTTAACTGAACAGTAAAAATGCATGTTATAGGGCTTAGCTATGAAGTTAGGAAAGTCAGCTCCCAGTAACGTGATACTGAAGCTTTTTTTTCTAATAATCATAATGTTACAGATATCTTGTAACATTGCTTCTTAGTCAAGACCTTTATTTTTAAAACTTTACAATGGTAAACAGGTTGACTTTAACTCGGTCCCAGCTAAAAGGTGTGCTTCAATCACACATAAAGTGTCAGTAAGTTTAGAAAGCACTCAGCCATGAAAATTTGATAATTATGTTTCTAAAACCCTACAAATGCCCATAAAGCTGGCAGCCACAACTTGACATCTTGACTTGCAATGAACAACTTTTAGATGCATCCACTCTTGCATTGCACTTCGTTTTTAATTCTTTTCATGCAGTGTAACATCTAGAATTCTGTTTAAATGTCTGACATGGGAAAAAAAACATTTTCCAGTGCAGAAATTGTATTGTTTAAAGGCAGTTTTAAGATAATTAACATCAATAATGATTATAGGTTGCTTTTTCTGTGGTAACTCTTGAACTGTATTGGCAAGATGAATTACAATTCTCCTCCCCTCCAAAAAAAGAACAATTGAAAGTAATAAGAAACCTCAGAATGCACAAATCAAATGAGAGCTTAATAGTTTTGTTGAATTCCTTTCTTTTGTAGCATCACATTCAAATATAGTAGTTGGATAAAGAGGGTGCAGAAAACCTTGGGTTTTTGCCAATTACCCATCTTTTCTTTGGTTAGCTCAAGAGATGAAATACAGCAGAATAGGAATTGTGTTGACTAGTTTGGAGGACACCTGTGGATGTCAGTGTTACTTACTGCTATGGTATTAAAACTGGCCATTTGCTTTAACACATTTTTTAATATTGTATGTGATATTAAAAGTGAATCTGTCACAGCATTATATATAAGACTGAAACACAAATGTAACATATAATTTCTTGGTGCCTTGAATATTCATCTCTACAACACAAAGCAGTAATACAATTCAGGAATACTGAATTGTGCTTGGACATGAAAAAAGTTGTTAGTCAATCTTTTATCACAATTTGGTCATCTGACATTTTACTATATTTCATCATATTTATGCCTACATTCACTCTACTTATATACAGTCAATATGCACCAAGTGAATGTAACAGCTGTCAAACATTATACAATCTGCTGTATACAATCTGCTATTATATAGGGGCAGTATAGTGGCTAAATGGTTAGCACTTCCACATGGCAGTACTACGGTCGTTGGTTCAAATCCCAACCATGGCACCAACTGCCTGAAGTTTGCATGTTCTCCCTGTGCCTGCATGGGTTTCCTCCGGGTACTCTGGTTTCCTCCCACATTCCAAAGACATGCTGGTAGGTTAATTGGATCCTGTCTAAATTGGCCCTAGTATGTGTATGTATGAATGTGAGTTAGGGAGCTTAGATTGTACACCCGTTGGGGGTTAGGAACTGATGTGAATGTATAATATATGTATGTAAAGCACTGCGTAAAATTGTCAGCACTATATAAGTACCTGAAATAAATAAATAAATAACACTGTTCAACAATTTTTTTTTTTTGCCAGTTTTGGAAACAAAAGGATCCATTTCTTAATGAATTTCACATTCTGAGTTCAAATATAACAATGAAATTTGTCAATTGGCTCTAGTTTTTCTGTAAACGGAAAGTTTTCTACTATAGGCGTAATGACTACATAATGCACAATAATTATATAGATAGATGTCTTTCCACAAATATAAAGCAAGTGATATTGACTACATAACAAAGCCTAAATGGCATAATATATTGCATAGGATTACCAAGAAAAATTATAGCCATAAGCTAAGTTGAATCATTTTAATACTTAGGATTCTCACTAGTTTTGTCTTCAGTTTGTGTCGGTTTTGCTTCTCTTGGCTTTTCTCTTGTATTCGAGGAAAGGGCTATCTCTTACAACTGCACGTGACTACACGCTTCAGGTTCTTCCTCACTTGACTCAACCACGAAGGATTCTGGTGCTTTAGGAATTGGTAGCCCCTCTCCATGAGGAACTGGACGTATTGCCGATGGAATATTTGGATAGTGCACAGATAACTTTTTCTTCTTATTTAGCCCTTTTACAATTGGAGGCACCATACAAAAGTAACAATTACTAACATGATCTGTTGGCTCTCTCCAAATCATTGGCACAGCGAAAGGCATAGATGCCTTTTTTTTCCATTCAACCATTGCTCCAGTGCCGTCCCACAAGAATTGCAGCATATATGTGGTGCCAAGCTCTTGTCCTGGTCTCCTATCTTGCAGCCAAAATACAAGTTGTAGGCTTGTATTAACCACTTGAGCCCCAGAGGATTTACCCCCCTTAATGACCAGGCCTTTTTTTGCTGTTTGGCGCTGCACTAATTCAAATGATAATTGCGCAGTCATGCAATGCTATACCCAAACAAAATTTACGTCCTTTTTTTCACACAAATAGAGCTTTCTTTTGGTGGTATTTGATCACCTGTGCGCTTTTTATTTTTTGCGCTATAAACAAAAAAAACCACGAAAATTTTGAAAAAAACCAATATTTTCTACTTTCAGCTATAAAAAATATATCGTAAACTCAAAGTTAGTCATAAATTTAAGCCAAAATGTATTCTGCTACATGTTTTTGGTAAAAAAAAATCCCAATAAGTGTATATTGATTGCTTTGTGTGAAAGTTATAGCGTCTACAAACTATCGTATAGATGCTGTAATTTATGCCTTTTTTTGCTATACAGCGCTGCACTAATTCAAATGATAATTGCACGATCATGCAATGCTGTACCCAAACGAAATTTACGTCCTTTTTTTCACACAAATAGAGCTTTCTTTTGGTGGTATTTGATCACCTGTGCGCTTTTTTATTTTTTGCGCTATAAACAAAAAAACCACAAAAATTTGAAAAAAAACAATATTTTCTACTTTCAGCTATAAAAAATATATCGTAAACTCAAAGTTAGTCATAAATTTAAGCCAAAATGTATTCTGCTACATGTTTTTGGTAAAAAAAATCCCAATAAGTGTATATTGATTGCTTTGTGTGAAAGTTATAGCGTCTACAAACTATGGTATAGATACTGTAATTTATGCCTTTTTTTGCTATACAGCGCTGCACTAACTCAAATGATAATTGCGCGGTCATGCAATGCTGCACCCAAACGAAAATTACGTCCTTTTTTTCACACAAATAGAGCTTTCTTTTGGTGGTATTTGATCACCTGTGCGCTTTTTTATTTTTTGCGCTATAAACAAAAAAAACCACAAAAATTTTGAAAAAAAACAATATTTTCTACTTTCAGCTATAAAAAATATATCGTAAACTCAAAGTTAGTCATAAATTTAAGCCAAAATGTATTCTGCTCCATGTTTTTGGTAAAAAAAATCCCGTGCATTAGCGGGCAAACTGGCGCTATCTAGGAGGGGCGCTAACACTATCGGAAGTCACCAGTGACACTAATACAGTGATCAGTAAAAATCTGTTCACTGTAATCAATGACACTGGTGACAGGGCAGTGAAGGGGTTAACTGGGGGGGGGGGCGATCAAGGGGTTAAATGGGATTTCTGGTGCACTAGCGGGCAAACTGGCGCTATCTGGGAGGGGCGCTAACACTATCGGAAGTCGCCAGCGACACTGATACAGTGATCAGTAAAAATCGGTTCACTGATCAGTGACACTGGTGACAGGGCAGTGAATGGGTTAACTGGGGGGGGGAGATTAAGGGGTTAAATGGGATTACTGGTGTACTAGCGGGCAATCTGGCGCTATCTGGGAGGGGCGCTAACACTATCGGAAGTCGCCAGCGACACTGATACAGTGATCAGTAAAAATTGGTTCACTGATCAGTGACACTGGTGACAGGGCAGTGAAGGGGTTAACTGGGGGGGGGGGGGTGATCAAGGGGTTAAACGGGATTACTGGTGTACTGGCGGGCAAACTGGCCCTATCTGGGAGGGGCGCTAACACTATCGGAAGTCGCCAGCGACACTGATACAGTGATCAGTAAAAATTGGTTCACTGATCAGTGACACTGTGACAGGGCAGTGCAGGGGTTAACTGGGGGGGGCGATCAAGGGGTTAAACGGGATTACTGGTGTACTGGCGGGCAAACTGGCGCTATCTGGGAGGGGCGCTAACTCTATCGGAAGTCGCCAGCGACACTGATACAGTGATCAGTAAAAATTGGTTCACTGATCAGTGACACTGGGTGACAGGGCAGTGAAGGGGTTAACTGGAGGGGGGGGGGGCGATCAAGGGGTTAAAACGGGATTACTGGTGTACTGGCGGGCAATCTGGCGCTATCTGGGAGGGGCGCTAACTCTATCGAAAGTCGCCAGCGACACTGATCAGTAAAAATCGCTTCACTGATCAGTAACACTGGTGACAGGGCAGTGAAGGGTTAACTGGAGGGGGGGGGCGATCAGGGGGTTAAATGTGTCCTAGAGTGTTCTAACTGTAGTGTAGTGCTTGTGTACTCACTTTTTGGATGTCTTCTTCTCTGTCTGGAACGGAATGTGTCCAGGCAGAGAAGAATGACATCATATCCTGCTGCCCTGTGTATGTCAACACAGGACAGGATAGGACAGGGACCGATCATGTGATTTCAGCCAGAAATCACTGGCTGAAATCTAATGATTGATCCCTCCTGGATCAAATAGTGTCACCCGCGGGTCGGGCGGGAGCGCGCGCGCGCGCCGCCCCCTTCCGGCGAAAGTGTCGGGAGCGCGGAACCCGTTTTTAAACGTGGTTTTGCGCTCCACTGCCCGCCCTGCACACGTATATACACAGTGGCAGGGCGGCAAGCGGTTAATCATTGCTTAATCATTCCTGTTATCCTCCTTTTTTGTGAGATAAAAGTTATTTCACCGCAGATATAGCAGAAATTATCTGCTTTATTCACACAAGTTCGAGGCATTACTGAGTAGCCTATATAAGCATAAAACAAAATGTAAAGACGCTGTCCAACTACAATCAGCTACAGATACTGCAGCTTTTATGCAGTGAAGTGATGCAATTAAAGGCTAATATTGCATCATCTCAGTATGCATGCAATTTTCTATTGGTCACCAGTATCAATTGCGCAATATGCAGCTGAAGTTGCATCATAATTTTGAATGGCTTACGTCATTAGATGGGTGACTATATCATGGAAACTAGAGCCAATCAACATTTTTTAGGGTCATTTTCGTTTTCAGCACCCCAAAATTATGTAAGATTAGCTAATTTTATGCCCAAAACTTTTTACCTGTTGAACAGTGTAATATTAACCTCCTCCCGGCCTCCATATAGTAATATGACGGACGTAAGGTGGTTCTCTCGTTCTGGAGGACATCATATGACGTCCTCCCATTCTAACCACGCATGCGCTGCTCCCGGAGCGTGCAGCGTGGCGATCGGCGGTGCGCTGTTTTCCTTGGACACAGCGGATCACCGATCCACAGAAACAGCCAAAGATATTGGCTCGGTCATATGATCAGCTGTGTCCAATCAGAGCTGATCACATGTAAACAGGGAAATGCCAGTTATCGGCATTTCTCTCCTCTCGAGCTGTAACGCTGACAGCACGAGAGGAGAGGAGAGCCGGTAATCGACATTCCGCGGAGGGGACATATACACTGATCATCAGAGCACTGATGATCAGTGTGCCCTGATGATCAGTGTAACCCCAGCAGTGCCACCTGTCAGTGTCCATCAGTGCCAGCTGTCAGTGCTCATCAGTGCCACCTGACAGTGCCCATCAGTGCCTCATCAATGCCACATATCAGTGTCCATCTGAGCTGCTTTACAGTGGCACCCATCAGTGCCAGTCAGTGCCACCTATCATTGCCTATCAGTGCTGCCAATCAGTGCTAGTCAGTGCCGCCTATCAGTGCCAGTCAGTGCTGCCTATCAGTGCCCGTCAGTGCCGCCTATCAGTGTCAGTCAGTGCTGCCTAACAGTGCCAGTCAATGCCACCTAACAGTGCCAGTCAGTGCGGCCTATCCGTGCCGTTCAGTGCCGCCTATCAGTGCCATATATCAATGCTGCCTTTCAGTGCCCATCAGTGATGCCTGTCAATGCACATCAGTGCCACCTACCAGTGCCTCCTCATCAGTGCCCATCAGTGCCACCTATCAGTGTCCATCAGTGCAGCCTATCAGTGCCCATCACTGCAGCCTCATTAGCGCACATCAGTGAAGGAGAAAAATCACTTATTTACAAAATTTTATAACAAAAACTAAGAAAAAACTTTCTTTTTCAAAATTTTCAGTGGTTTTTTGGTTTGTTTAAGAAAAAATAAAAAACCCAGAGATGATTAAATACCACCAAAATAAAGCTCTATCTGTCACAAAAAAATGATAAAATTTTCATATGGGTACAATGTTGCATGACCGCGCAATTGTCATTCAAAATGCGACAGCGCTGAAAGCTGGAAATTGGCCTGGGCAGGAAGGGGGTATAAGTGGCCTGTAGGCTTGTGGTTAAAGCATCTTTTAAGTCAGCAAGTGAATTTGCTGTCTGGAGCTCTCCACAGTGCTGAAACTTTTGCTAACTATAGGCAATGACAGTATGTCACAGGACACCTCCTTAGAATTCCTTTCTACATTTAAAACTTTCCTAATGATGCAATCCTCATCAATTAGGAGCTCAGCATTAAGGGAGATGAGAGTTGTGTTTCCTTTTTTCCCATTCTAGCAACCGAGAAGACCTACCTAGGGATGCTACCAGAACCTGAATGAGCCTGTATACTATTAGTGAAAGAAACATAGAATGTCCAGTATTTGTATTTGCTTACATTTCACACCCATGTGCATACTTTCCAAAAAGCAGATCACCAGCTGGAACCTGTGCTTTTAACATGTTTATCACTCTTTTAGGCAATCATTGCATTTCATGCAATGATTCAATATGTAAGCCATTGTAAATTGTGTTTTTAAACGTTTTCAGTGAATTGCATGGAAAATAACATTCACTCTTTTCTAAATAAGGCAGATGTTTCAGTTAACTAATTACCCCACATAAGATAGATCATTGCAGAATCCAGGGAATGTATTTTTCACTAGACAAATATTGGTCAAATGGTCATTTAACTGTGATTATTCAATTAACACTTTATAAATAGAGTTAATGCTTTCCAGTGAAATTTCTTTAATTTTTTAGTGTTTGTTCAATGTATGCACAGTGAATGTCATGTTGTATTATTTATAAATAGACCAGTTGATGTAGAATCAGCTGAAATTCCAAAATACAGTATCATATAAGTTGGTATAGAAAATAATTACCACACCCCTTCCCATTAAAATAATTACATGTTGTTTCTTTGCAGCCTGGAATTAAGACAGACACAGTTTTTGTTGTATCCAGCTGTATTTACTCAGTGCAACGTATAACATCCATGTGAAAGATATAACACCAATATAGCAAAAAAAAAAAAAAAACAGAATCACAGAGTTGATAAAAGTATCCCCCCCTTAAAAAAATGACTTGTAAACTCAATTAGGTGTTGTGTCTGTCTTCATTTCAGGCTGCAAAGCAACAAAATGTGATTATTTTTAAAGGGGGGATTCTTTCTTATATCCACTGTATTACCTTGACTAATGATTTCAGTGCAATATGTAAGCCATTATAAATTGTGTTTTTAAAAGTTTTCATTGAATTGCAGGGATGATAACATTCACTCTTCTCTAAATAAGACAGATGTTTCGGTTAGCACATTTGAATACTGAATCATGAGAATGTATGTTTCGCTAGACAAATATTGGTCAAATGGTCATTTAACTGTGAGTGTTTAATTAACACTTTATGAATAGGGTTATTTCTGCGCAGTGACATTTCTGTAATTTTTTGGTGTTTATTCAATGGGTGTACAGTGAATGTCATGCTGTATTCTTTATAAATAGACCTCTTGATGTAGAAGCAGTTGAAATTCCAAAATATCATATATTACCTTGACTAATGATTTCAATGCACATTCAGTATAAAAGCTCCAACGTTTTCCATGTTCCATATGCCTAAATATGCATTGTGTTATAATATGCTAGTCTTGTTGCATGCAGCAACATGGCTTTTAGTAATATAAGCCTTGTATAGCACATTTAGCTTTCAGAATCAATCCACAGACGTATTTACCCCACACCTGCTCAGTATTAAGGAACACATTAACAATTATTAATATATTTCATGTTGGCAGTCGTCTCAATCTTCCCTCCTGGCAGATAACATAGATCTGTATCTAATTTCTGAACAGCATTGCATGGAGGTGGAATTCTTGCATTTGTGCTGAAGAACTGTCACTGACTGTCACTATGTGACTCTTCTCAGTGCCAGTAGAACTCTTTGTTCCAGTGAGCTGTCAGACCACATCACATCATAATGATAATTAATTAATGTTGTCAACAGCAATATCATACATTAAGGCAAAATCATTTTAAAAACATTTATTAATATTTTCAATGGTCTTTGCTTTAATATATGCTCCATTAATTTTGAACATTTTGACAACAGTAAAATATATCCTTATTCTATCTGTAGTATCTATCTATCTATCTATCTATCTATCTATCTATCTATCCGTCTATCCGTCTATCCGTATCTGCTATCCGTCTATCCGTCTGTCTGTCTGTCTGTCTGCTGTCTATTTATCTACCTACTATTTATCTATGTGAACATATACATTTTAGAATTTTTATCACCAGTTATTTCATCCAGCAATAAAATGATTACTGCATGATATCTTAGAATGTGTGATTAAAGTACTGAAATTGCTGTCCTTTTTCTGAAAATAATAGTTACATTGTTGCATTTAATTTGTGTTTTGAGTTACTGACCCAGAATAATCATGCTACAAATAAAAGTTTAACAAAAGTTAGACATTCTTATATTTATACATGTACAAGCAGTGACTCCATGAAATAACCCTTTCTCTGCCAGACCTATTGTTCCTATTTTTCACATACCTCAAAAATGGGCAGCCCCTATTTGATAGCACTTTAGCAGTGCCACGTTCTCCTTATATAAATATCAAGTGTTTTTTAGACCGTTTATGTCTCCTCTGTTTTCAGCCCATGCACATCACGGAGACTAAGGCCCAAATCTGCAGCTAAACAAGCCAGTACCATCAGGATACTGAGCCTGGGAAAGCGTTAGAGCTCAAAGCTAAGCACTTTGGGGCTGGTTACTCACAAGGGTTATCACTGAATGGCAGGAACCAGCAAGTGAAAATGTACAGCCACCCCCATCATTTTTACTGAATAGAAATAAAGCAAGCTCCTAAATTTAAAACAAGCTCTTGGCTGGGTTTGTGGGTCAGAGCTTGTTTTCAGGCTTTGATTGCTCCCCTATAAAAGCTAAAGCTTTGGAATGGCAAGCAAGGATCTAGCATTTCTTGAGTAAAGGTTAGCAATGGATCTCAGGTATTTGTCTCATGACAGTTGTAATTATACATATATTGTTCATATAAAAAACATTAGAAATGACCACATCCTACATACTAACCTTGAATATGGGTAAGAGTCCAGTGAAGGCCCATTACAATCAGTTTTTGATCTGTGGTGGCATATTGAGAATGCTTTTTGATATTATTGTCTGGTTAGGATGTTTTGCGCATGCACCCTAAAAAAAAGCTGTGTAAACTACTTTGCCGCCCTATACCTATTAGTTTGTTAAAGAAAAGTTCATATATGAGAATAATGTACTAAATTTGAGCCTTCCATGTTCACAGCTGGCTAATTGATCAAAGGGTGTCAGCAAATCCCAAACTTCAGACACCAATAGAAGAATTTGCAAATATTTGGTGTTGATCAACAACCTCAGAACTACTTAAGTGTGGTTGAAGAAGTCAGACCACTTGACCCATGAAATGGCAGTTACATAAGTATAGAAAGAGCCATAATATCAATTGAAAAAGAGGCTTTGTGCTCATTTTTCCACATTCTT